GATTGTGCATTTCTGTGAACAGTTTTTGTTTAAAATTCCAAATTTCAATCGACCTCAGCTGGCCACATTTGTTAAATACGCTTTCACAACGTTTCGACCTGTGGTTTAGGTCCTTATCAAGTGGGATCTTGTTGCGGAGTTATGTCAAGTACAAGTAAAAACGCATTTTAGCGGAATGGAGTTATGTATGCCCGGAGCCGAGGGATGTAAGACCAAGACCAATTTTTCGTTTGATATAAATTTTGCTGACGCGGGGATATGTGCAAAATTAAATGTATTGCATAGACCATCTGGTTGTAACAGTAGAGAACATACAGAAGGCACCCTTCTAGAGAAGGATTAGAATCGTTACACTTTACTGAATCGAACACCTGGGAAATTTCTATTTTTGAAAAATTGTTTGCTAGAGCGTTTATTACTTCTACACGCTAAACAATTTTACCAAGTTACACATATATGCGTATAAAAGTAACACACTTACAAGATTTGCAGTGTATTGATTAGGAGGGTGCCTAATCATTTTGTCTATGGCTGCATTTTTGAGACTGTGATCGTTGAAAACGAAAAACAATTATTATTAGAATCGTCATTAGAAGCTAGCGTAATAGGAGTTTTCTCTTTCTTTCCTTTTCCTCGCGCAAAACTAATTTGCTTATCAGTATTCTTGAGAAAGATGAATCACAGATATCTAAAATATTAACGTGTGGTAATGAGGCAAAACAACTTTCCTGATACATCAAAGAAAATAATTTCAGCTGTCACTCGCGGTTTTGAAGACTCCCCCCCCCCCTTTTTTTCCTCGAATCTCGAGAGTCGTTCGGACTCGGAACTGATCTTAACGGCGCCTGGAGGTCCGGGTGGCTGCGGGAAAAAAAAACAGTTTACAGGGCACAGCTTTCGTAAACGATCCGGCCGCGTGAGCTCGAAAGAGCTCGATGCTTCCGTCATGTTAAAGGGCCGATGCGCCGGTTCGTGCGGAGACTGGAGCCGGAACGGAGATAGAGCGAGCTATCGATCTCCACTCGTGAACGAAGAAGCGACCGTGCCGCGCCGGGAGCCGGGAGAGGAGAGCTAGCCCGGGTCTCTCTGTCTCTCTCTCTCTCTCCTGCTCTCGAAGCTTCGATATCAGATCGCTCGTATAAAACTATCGTATCGTTTAAATACGCACTGAAAGGTGAGGCGATGCATCAGAAGATACGCGGGCGATGGCAGGCAGCCTCCTCTCTTTCCTTAGGCTGCGTCCTCCTGTTCCGTCCGCGCTGTCGATCCGCGCTGAAGATACCCGCCTGGAATCCATGGGAACCACGGAGAACCAGGCTTAACGCATATAACCCCTCCCTAGCACAGTGGGGCCCACCGCCCGGACCCCTTGGGCCTCACCTCCGCGTTTCCCTCTGGCTTTCTACCCTCGATACATATATGTTCTTTCATCCTCTTCGCGTTCGAGTTTCTCTCCTCGTTTTTTTCTTTTTACACTTTTATCGACGGTGTTGGATTAAATGGCGTAGCGTTTGACTTAGAAATCTAGGGACTGTGACAGATTGTACGAAAGATAAAATTAAATTAATATAAATCCATGAGACGAGATGGTAGAAGTGCATAGGTTGATAAAAATGGCAGAAAAAATAGCGCGGAGAAGATAATGTGTATTGTTATTCTCTGGCGGTGCAACGATCGACATCACTGTTCATTCGGGATAATTGACAGAAGATCCGCGCATCAAGTTTCTGAAAAGGACGAGATGCGATCGCGGCGCGATTCTGCATTGCCGATGCATCGCTGCTCGATATTCACGATGGCTACCGATTCCGCTCTTCCCCTTTTCGCTGGAATCCGTAATTGGGCGGGCATTCCACGTTATGAGTTAATTCCGGCGTGTCGGTGTCGGCAGAGATCATATCGACGCGAAGATTCACGAGACGATCTCGGTTTTCTCGATCGGCATTTCGCAGTAAGGTAAAATGAATGGCGAAATCGTCAGTTTAACGAGGAGACGGATTCCTTTCGGACTTTTGCCTTAGGCTTGCGTTATATGGCGATATAATATTCACGAATTAAAAAGGACTTCGTCTTGTAAGCCTTATGGTTTGTGTTATAACGTTATAAAATTATGTAAAGACTTCGCATAATATTACGGGATCTGAATGATGTAATTTATTGCTTAGGAATATAATTAACGCGATTTATATATTCACTCGTTCAATTATAAAGATAAAATAAATTGACTTTTCAACACAATCAGATATGCATATATTAATATAACATATATATTAATAAATAACGTGTGTGTGTATGTGTAATTAATCAAATATCTGCAAATACCCGAGTTTCCTATAATATAAATCAACGCAGCGCATAAGGAAAATATTAATATTTAAAATAATTTGCAAGATTATTTCTCGAAGAAACTTAAAGAAATGTGAATAAAATGCACTTGAAGAGAATGCGGAAATCTGGTAGAATGCATTCTGCTTTTGCAAAAACCGGATGCTCGTGAAGACTAGAGACAATGGTCGTTCGGGGTGGTGGCGATCTTCCGTTTTGAAAAGGGATGAAATTCCGCGTCGTGTGCATTGTCCGCTTAATGATTGAGTGGAGACATGACAGGTGAAACTGAATACACATACACACACACACACGCATCACGAGGAATTGCACCGGGCGTGAGTCTCCGCGGGTTCCCCGTTGTGCACCTATCGCAGCCAGACAAGCGTGAGCCCGAATTGTGGGACCCACCGATGGGCGTCTGCTCCCAAGACCTTCGACGTTGACGATACCCCTTTCATACTGGCGAGCTGATCTTTTCGTACAGCCCATTGGCGATCGGCGCCACCCACATCTTACGGAACTACCAGATAGAATTTGCAATTCGATATCTTCAGGCGAAGGTTGTGTACGGATTCAAGGTGAAACGATTGAAAGAAGCTTAGAATGCCCGTCGCGCACAGGACGTCCTGGAACCGCCAATTTTAATTCTGAAGACAGATTTCTTAACCAATTTGAGATCCCTCTCTTGAGATCTTTTTCTGGTTTTTGCAAAAGGATGCATTCTATCATATTTCCGCATTCTCTCCAAGTGCGTTTTACATCGCTTTAAGTTTCTTAGAGAAATATTCTTGAAAATTATTCTAAATATTAATATTTTCCTTATGCGCTACATTGATTTGTGTAGGAAATTCGGGTCTTTGCTGATATTTGATTAATTACATTATCTATATGTGTTATATTAATACATGCATATCTGAATGTGTTAAAAAGTCAATTAATTTTATCTTTATAATTGAACGAGTGAATATATAAATCGCGTATATTCTTTTTCTTAGGAGAGACATCGAGAGAAATTATCCGTTATCGCACTGTTTTATCGCGCAGTATTAAATACTATTATATAATCAGATACTGGTTGAACAATTGCAGTGTAATAGAGAATATTATAATTAAACAGCCGTGATCTTAGCTGCTACATCAATGATTTCTTTAATTGCCTGCGTAGTTACCTACTCGAATAAAATCGCGGTGCCATTGAAACACGCCTACGAATGCTCGCGGCTGGAAATGGCTATTTCTTATAGGCTTATCTTAAAAAAAAAATTGGAAAAAGCGTTAATCGCGCACCATCGACTAATTGACATATGCCGGCCTTCTATATATGTTCCGCCATATAAGTAACTACTGCATGCGCACTATGTCAAATTATACTTTCTATCGCGCGTCCATTCTATATTTGACACTCGGGTAACGATGCACTGACAATGAGATATCTAGCGATGCCATATGAATAGGCGGTTTTCGATCTAGATAGCTTGTTCACGACTGAACACCGTCGTAATTACAGATCTGCCTTTTACAAATTAACTGACCTAGATTGTCCAACCGAGTAACGATCTCTGCAAGACGTGTTTGATGAGAGATTAAAAGTTTCTAGAGCTAGAGGATAGATAGGAGATGTACGCTAAGTAATAATTTTAGATGATTCTTATATACTACACACCAATAGTTTAGATAATTTTTATACATTCTACTTACGCGTGCTATGCCACATATTGAAATAATAAAGTACACTGAGAGAAAAAAAAAAGTCATTTTTGGAGCCAACCATATTTTGGTTTATGACAACCAATATTGTGGTTATGAGAACTATCACATTGTTAGGTCAACCATAATTTACGTTGGAGGAATTATAAAAAATATGGTTGGCTCCAAAAATGACTATTTTTTTTGTAAAAATGACTATTTTTTCTCTCAGTGTATCTAGTTTGTATAAATATCCATTTTAGTTGGCGCAATTTAATGATATCGTTACTTTTGTAGAGAAGATAAAAATGTTTTTTTTTTCTAATAAAATATATTCAAATAATTAAATTATATAATTCTTGACTGGATGGCGCTTATTCTACTTACGCGCGCTATGCCACATATACTAAGTAGATAAATCGCGACTGTATGTCAGAAATATTATCGCAATTATACAATTGCAATTATATATGTATAAATTTCATTAACGTAGGACGTAAAAACGGAAGTATAAACAATAAGAATTGCACGGAGGAGCGATAAGTATTGTCCAAACGATTTCGACGAAAGTATTCTGTCGCGTGTCAAATATTCTTATACAATCAGATGTTTTGTATTTCTAACGATATCATTAATTAATGTATTCCAAGAGTCCAGCGCGCATCTGCAAGGAGGTTCTAAATTGTCTTATTCGCCGGCTGACGCGTAATCCGATTTGTTTCTCGGGCGATCTGATTGCGCGCGACCTTCTTCAACTTTCCTCGCCCTAACCCTTGCCGACGTTATCTCCCGGCATCCACCTTCGTTTGAGACTCCATGCGACCGGGAAGATTCTTGCCGATTTTTTTATTACCACTCGCTTACCGCGCATATGCGCGCCGGACGCGCCTCTTCTTGTTTCGCGATCGGTGATTTACGTTCGGACCGCGCTACCACGGTAATAGTCCATTAATTGATCTCGGATTCCCCTCTCCGTGTGGCTTCAGATACGCGGGAGACGGGTTTCGTGAACGCCATCACCGCCGCTGGAGTTACTTATGCGGTTACCAGAGCCTGCACTATGGGTGACCTCGTGGAATGCTCCTGCGATAAGATGACGTCGAAGGGTAAAAGCTTACTCTCTTAGTTTCTCTTTGTGATTTGTAATCCGCGTATCGATTTCCCATTAATTTCCCAACGGAATCTACAGTAATTTATAGGCTCTTAAAAACCCATTAAAACTAAAATTATCAGTTTTTGTTTATTTAAACAGGAGGATATACTTTTATATTTCTATTTGAGATAAATTGTAGTGCGACAGTAGTAAATTTTTCAAAGCTGATTAAGATTATTTGTATGTGTGAAAAAGTTGATAGATTCTTACCATCTTCCTCGCGATTGCAGTTTGAAAATAGGAGAAAATTGTGACTTTTCCACAGGTAATCGTCTGGCTAAATTTGCGCGTACGGTCGAAGCGAAGAAGAGTTTGCCGACGGAAGGAGACTGGGAATGGGGAGGATGCGGCGATAACGTAAACTTCGGCTTTAAAAAATCACGGGAATTCATGGATGCACCGTATCGTAAAAGAAGTGACATCAAAACGCTGGTAAAGCTTCACAATAACGACGCTGGTCGTCTGGTAAGTTATTTATTCTCTGTTCATTCTTAATTTTTATACATATTTCTGTTCAATCGTTATTTTTTCATCGTGCTTGGTGACGATAAGCGAAATCTTGCACACAATAATCCACTATAATGCCATGTCTCTTTAATTGTAAGAAATCTTCGAAAGACTTTGCAAAGTAAGCCTATATTTTCCGTTATTCTCAATGGCATTGGGCCCATCTTCAAGATTTTAGCAAAATTATTTTACTAAAATTAAAAGACATATTTTAGGTCTAATAATTTTAAGCAATAGTAGAATTTATCTCGATAACGAATACATTTACGCAATTCGATGTTTTCTTCAATTATCGAGTTTTTCATCAATTTGGGCCTCCGTACATCGTAGTTAGAATTTTAAAGTCGTCGGAACCTGGTAGAAAGATAAACTAGATATGCACGTTACCACCCGACGCGCTATGTGCATTCGCTTCTCAGGCCGTACGCAACTTCATGAGGACCGAATGCAAGTGCCACGGGCTCTCCGGATCCTGCACGGTGCGCACTTGTTGGCGCAAGATGCCGCCGTTTCGGGAAGTTGGCAACCGTCTGAAGGAGTCCTTCGACGGCGCGGCCAAAGTCATTCCCAGCAACGACGGTCACAGTTTCATCACCGAAGGCCCCACGATCAAGCCGCCCGGTAGGTTCGACCTGATCTACAGCGAAGACTCGCCGGACTTTTGCAAGCCGAATCGGAAGACCGGCTCCTTGGGGACGACGGGGCGTCAGTGTAACGCGACTAGTCCTGGAGTCGAGGGCTGTGAGCTCCTCTGCTGCGGCAGGGGCTACGACACCAGAATCGTCAAGGAGAAGGTCAATTGTCAGTGTAGGTTCCGGTGGTGTTGCGAGGTAACGTGCAATACGTGTCTCGTCAAGAAGACCATCAACACTTGTCGCTAGTGTCCACGTAAGTGAAAAAAAGACTTGAACTGATATCTGACAGTGTTGCGAAGCGAGTCGATGCGATAGTTCGTCCTGCGTGTGTTAGAGGAGGCTGAAGAGACAATGCCGAGAAAAATTATTCATATCCTTTGCGCAAGTCCCATTGATGTGTGCCATAACAATAGATCAGAAGATTACGATTGAAGAGTTTCGTAGAGTTTTGCCAAGTTCCGCAGAAGGTTGCGGTGCTAAAATACATCTTTAACAATCAGAAGAATATTAGGCGATCGAACGTTTCTTCGCCTGTTTCTTTTTTTTTACCAGTAATTGTCGAAAAGTGTCAACGATTAACTTATATTAGTAGTGTATTTCGAAGTTCAATATTGACGTTTAGCGCGAGTGAAACTTTTCGACTTCTATCGTTGCCATCACTATCGGCGGTTGATCCAACCGTCCCATTCTCTCGACACGATCGTGATAATGCCCTATTACGTAATAGCGTTTGTAATATATCAGTTTTTAGAATATGGTATTTGATCGTAAATATTCATTGACGCGAATATTCATTCAGGCGATATGTGATTTACAATTTATGGTGACCATAAAGGCTTGAATTGAATCTAGGTTAGCGAGAAGGACGTGTTGTAGGATTTCCGAAGAGGTTTATCGTGCGCGAGAAGCGGGATTGCGACGTCAGTAGTGCATGCGCGAGCCAAGTCAGACGCGAGTCGCGGATGCAACTAGACGCGATGTCTCGCGTTTACACGAAATAGCGTGTATCTTTGACTGTGAACCTACGAATTGTTACAAAGCTGAATATTTTGGTTACAGAAACGTGTATGTATATTGGACACTAATCCTGACAATTTTAGCAACGCTGGCAATATAGGTATTATTGTCAGAGATTTCTATTGTTACAATCAGGACCGGTTCTAGATTCTTGTTGACTTCTAGATTTTTGTTATGTGCGATATGTCAAACTGTTACTTTTTCCAAGCTGGTAACAGAATGCAAACAATAATTCACGCTAATATTATAGAAAAATGTTTTCTCTAATCTTAATGGAACGTTGTCATAACGAAGCATCGTGTAAATAATTTCAACAGTAAGTATTGTTAAGAAAAATGTAATAATATAAATCTGTTCTTGTGCAATTTATCTTTCGATGAAATCACATCGCTCTGACAAAGTCTGGTTGACTTTCTGCTATGTAGAATCGACTCCACATATAGTTGTTATTAGCATCGCCAACGCTGCGCGAGGCGATCGTGTTTCGGGCTTTCCACGTATCTCCAGTGCTCGTAATATGTATTAAGATATACATAAGATACCATAATGAATTTACGCAAAGCATATGGCCTATCGCACACACAATTGCATAGCGACATTTGCACAGCATAAAAGCTGTCTAAACCAATGAGCCTCGAGGATTCAGTCTCCATATTGATTTACATAACATTCAGAGACAAAAGAGTATTCTCCTTTTGAAGATATGTTTAGTTTCAACGTGAAAATCTTGAAATGAGATTATATTGCGTTAAAGGAAGAAACACTTACTTGAATGAAGCAATTTTATATAATTCAATCGAGAAAAATATACGCTTATTATTTACGAATAATTTTCTTGAATGGAAAGGGAACAATATATTGGATAGAAAATAACATATTTTCAAATCGAAGGTTACAATGATTAAAATGATTTTGTTGTCAAAATAATTATATGTATTCGTGACAATTATAGTATAATATTTAAATAAGACTGTAATATTGTTGGAATGTACGATTATTAAATGCTTCTAAGAAGATTACAGGTCGTTGCGTATATACAAAATAACAAACGCGTTAATTTGAGTATATAAGAGTTGATCTGACATCTTATTGTTTTTCTGCGTGCTCATTGGTCTAGACGATCTTATGCTATGCATGTCGACCGATCTCTTTCGCAAGGTCGTATCTCGATTTTCGGTTGTCCTGCTTAAATGCTCAGTTAGGACCAGGATGAGCGTTTAAACAGGAAAACAGGAAATTGTGTAGAATCGAGATACGATTTTGCGAAAGAGATCAGTCGCTATGTATAGGCCGAAAGTATATCACCTTTAGGTTTTGTGAGTATAACTTTCGTCGAAATGCACCGAATGTGCTCAAAATTTTACAGTAAACACCTGATAACAGGTACATCTTGTACACGAAGGGTAATGAAATTTGACAAAGTACATAATGATTTTCGAATTTTTCATTCGAGCAGTTTAAAATTATAGTTATGCTCAAACACTCGAAAGGCGATATATTATTGGTCGGTACTGTTGCTATGCAATTTTGCGCGCGATAACCCCATTCGTCAAAGTATCGTAACGCGCCGGTATTCGCATAGCAATGCCAGGTGAATCGCTTTCCTGCTTGAATCGCGATTTCAAGCAAAGTCCCAAGTAATGAATTCAAGTATCACTGGCGCCGGAAATATTTCAACGTTATGAAATAATTTAATTGAATATTTAATTTTTACAACTTTTTTTTATTAATCTTGTTGATCTTGTTGATTACGTCGAGAAGAAACTCGGGACTTTGCTTTCGTTTTACGCGTATCTATAAATTACACTGCTTTTCCTTCGCGTGATATAAGCTTTGTGCCATAAACAATTTGATCAATCAATATTTGCTACATGCGTCTACCGACCAATAAGATATACAAATTCTCCTTGTTTTTTTTAATCAGATAAACACCTCTTATTGATTCTTTAACCATATCTTGTTACAGGGCTTATTTTTCTCGTTTGTGTATATAAGACTGATCTAGAGTGTGTATTTTCGCGCAATATGAGTTGGATGCGGATAAAATTATACTCACGGACCAATCTTGTTTGTTATTATTAAGGTCTAGCAATTTATCTGCAGTGACGACTTATTTTAGAATGAACATATATAGAAAGAAAATATATATAAATAATTGTGCTTTAAATTTTAATCTATTCAATCGAACTTCAAATGAATTATGTCCTCCACGTTGCTAAGATTACAGGTAAGTAATAGCATTACATGCATATGTTTTCGTTTAAGATATCTTATAATATATGGTGAATTATGGTCCATACATATAAACATAACTGACAGATATATTATTAGAGGAAAGCCCTCTATTACGAGATAAGTTCCTAATATTAGATAGAGCGGGGTTGCGACTAAATTAACAGGTATCATCTGTTGGTTCCACCGTGAATTTATTGCCCTTGGAGTAAAATATGTTTAGTGGAAAATTCATTGTTAGATCGTGTAATCGTCGCGAAAAAAGATTTGTGGTTGAATGTCGATGTTAAAAACCCGCTGTCTCATATTAGAAGCCTATCTCCTAATGGGGGGGACTTTCCTCTACGTCTTTCGAAATTTTTACTTGTTATACAATGTTACATTTAAATATGTCGACAATTTTTAAAAGTTATACAAGTTTATAAAGATGTCATAAAATTTCTTCTGTTTGTACATTGGTTCCGTTGTTGCCTTTAGAAACTGAGATTGAACGTGTCAACAGTCTTCAAGCCCATTTTGATGTTACATATTGACTTAGTTTGCTTCCCTCCCTTTCTTACTTTCTTACTTTAATGATAACTATTATTTGAAAAGGAGACTTGAAACTTGTTTTGTCAAACTTGGAATAAAAAAAGAGTGCTAAGAGATTAATCTCGAAAGCTGTTTGACACGTTCCCGGACGAAGAATTTTTTGTCCCTTCGTGCCTGGAGATGTGATAATAGGGATAAATTAAGGAAACACCGAGAATTGGGAGGCCTCGTATATCAGGGCGCCGTGTAGAACACGGGCTTTTACCTGTAATTCAGGTTTATACACGACAGTCACACGGGCAATAAAAAGGACTACTGCCATTTTTTGTAAAATAGTTTTACGGCCACCATCAAGAGGAATTTCGCATAACCATAAAGGTTGGCCGAAGACTCGCGCCATATCGCGTGCATTCATCGCCTCTCGACGATAGCGGAAGCCATAAACTGAAAAAATTTCTTTGCCAGGGTCTTTTTAGGTCTTTCAGTCTGCTGGCGCGACAATTTTTTCAATTTTAAACTCTTGAAACCTAATGGATCCTCTTGCATCTTTATATTCACCGGTAACTGCATCGCTTATAGGAACAGAGAAGTTGTTACCTTAATGAAGAAAGGTATTGTCAAATGCCACTGTTATTTTACACTTTGAGGAAGAAACCAAAGAACTTGACGATTCACTTGCGTTTTCGATACTTTTGGAGGAGACGCAATACTTATAATATTGTATATATTTTTGTAAATTTATAATTGAAGAAAATGTTTAGCTTTGCGATTAATATTGAGATAAATTAACGAACGTTCAATATCAGTACAACAAATACTATAATGGTTGATATTACTTTGATATATAGCATTAAAATTTTAACGGAAAATATAATATATGGAACTTGCAAATTTGTCTTTCGGAGAACATTTTATATAACTTTTCACCTTTCTTTCGCTTCAGTTAGCGTTTCTATGTATAATTGATTAAAATATAGATTTTTCATGTATTATTTGTCCACTATGAGATAGACACATTATAAATGCAAAATAATCAAGAGTGCTATTAATTAATAATGAACAGTAGAGAGTGATTTGAAAAATTCTTGAAATCGCCATCTAACTGAGGATATTTACAGAACATTTTCTGCGTAACGTCACGAACGTCCGAGATTGCTTGATCAACGGCGATTTACCACCAACGGTTGCATTCCCACACACGAGCCACCCTCCTCCCCCAAAAAAACCCTCCTTAAAGAAAAGACTCTTAGAGAGGCGAGCTTACACCCTCTAATTTAATACGTGACGCGGCACGGCGCGGCGTGCGAGCGCGTCCGGGTAAAAGTCTCTTAATAGAGAGGTCGACCTCTCGGAGGTACGAAAGTGGTGAGGCGCAATTAGCCCCACCAAGGGGGACTGTCTGGACTCGATTAGCCCATGGCCAGGAGATTGGTCTGCCGCGGGACGACTGGGTGGTCCGAGCGGGGTAATTTTCGGCTGCTGTCGACGTTCCCCTTCGGGGGAAAAATGGCCCCTCGAAATTGGCCCCGGAGTTACCGTGTGCCGTCGGTCCACGACGCCATTTTTAGAATCTCCACCTTGCCCTTGCCTCAGCCCTCCTTTCGTCCCCTCCTTCCGTATTTCTCATCTTCGTCTCCCCGAGGCAGAGAACGGAGACTCCTCTCTCTATCTATCTTGAGAGAGAGAGAGAGAGTGGCTTCCCGGTAATTCAATTTTGGGAAAAAAACGCGGTACACCGGTTATTACGCGTTGATGAAAACATTGGATCATCAAGAACGGTGTGAGAATGCGGTTTCTTGGTTTCACCGTCGGCCATCGGGGTCCGTTGACAAAATGAAATCATATAATTTTATATTGATTTATTAAACATGCTAAAGATATTAAGGAAATAGCGAATGATTATATAGAGGTGGATTAATGTATGAAAATTATTTTATCTATCTTTTAAGAGATGTCTCGCAGTTAATATTTTTACATTAGGGTTATTGCTTTTAAATTTCAGATGGCATCGTGATACGTTTAAAGTCGCACTAATTAAGATCCGTATTAATTAAGTCTAATCTAGTAATTCGTTATCCCTCGCTTATCGCTCTGCCTCACGTATATAGACAGAGAAAACAAATATATTAAGTTGGAGTTGTAACTTTTAATGAACCAGACCCGAGACCGCACTTCAGCCGGAGCGCGGAGGATGGGCTCTCCGCAAAATGTGCGCATGCGAGGGATCCGCGCGCGCGGGGTTTTACGTACGACGGGGAACTCTCCCACGGCGTACGACTGTCCGACACCGTTCCCGGAACGATTAGGCGCGGAACAATGGTGCCCGCGGAACGCACGTGGGTCGTGACGCGCGACAAAACCGCAAAATGCGACCGTGATTAATCGGCCCTGGCCGCCCTCTTCGGCCGCGCAAGAACACACCGTACCACGGGAACGCGCCGTGACTCTATTTTCTTCTCTCCGGGGCCTCATGCCACGCTCGCGCAACCCTCCCGCGAGCGCGCGCTTAATGCGCGAGCACTCGCCCGTTCCACGTCTCGTGGAAGCCGATGATAAATTTCCCCGACAACGAGCGTTCGTTCCTACCCTCCCTCGCGCGTCCCGGCTAGGTGCAGCAACCTCCGTCGCATTTTTCGCGAATACTTGTGCTCGCTGGATGTGACACGGAAGGAACGTGTGCGAGACGTCGCGCAGCCAGTCACGATGGTCATACAGGGTGATTCAAAATAAGTATAGTGTCCTTGAAATATTGTATGTTTTATTCAATTCTGAGACGATTTTTCCTTTATCAAAATGTTCTCTGAAGCTTACTTTTTGAATTATAAAATGAAATAGTTTACGAATGACGGGCCGAGTAAGTACGAGAGGTAGACAGATGCGGCGTACGGCGCGACTCATCGTGAGCGCTTACGCGGGGCGACTCAGCTGATCGCTGCACACAATACATGATACACACACGCGACACATCTCTCTCTCTCTCTCTCTCTCCCCCTCCCTCCCTC